GGGGGGAAAGTAATAAAGGCCTCCATCGGTAATTTTCTCTGTGGGGCTTTGAGGTAATTGAGCCATTTAGATAAAAATAGGGCAGCGAGTCCCTCTAGGTAAGGAGAGTGTTAGCAATCCAAGAAGGGTTGAATTATGCGTCTTGTATCGCTTTAAATCCCCCCACGTCCCTTCCACCCCCCAGCGTTACGCCGAGCGCCTCTCCTCTTTTCTTCGGCTCTACGTTTTTTTTGAAGTCGCCTGTCAAACGCCGTCCGACGGGTAGAGAATTTCAGCTGTCACAACTAATTTTGGCTCTCCAGAATGCGAGTGTGTGCGTGCGGGTATGTGCGTGCACGCCCGTCGACCAAGTCTCTGAGCTCCGGGGAAGAGGGTTGTCAGGTCGAGGCTTCGTTTCTCTCTCTCTCTCTCTCTCTCTCTCTCTTTTTTTTTTTACTTTCGGAAGAAAGATTTACATCAAAAATTTGTTTCGGGGAGTGTTTAAGGACTGTAATTTCCTCTTTTTCAATTGCCGTTTGATGGCGTCTATTTCCTAAGCTACTCACTCACTGGTCCCCTGCCCGGCTCCATTTGTTGCCTCTCCATCAATCGCTGTCACGTTGCCCGGTGGAAATCTCCAACGCTCCCTGGTGTTGTCACGTTTGTAAATGTCAGAACGGTTTTCTCCCCGGGTTTGGCTGGCAAGTTAGGGCACGCACCTGGCTTAGAAGGGAGGTTTCTGAAGGTGGAGGGGGTCCCTTTCAACCAATTTTCGGCCCAACTATCCTGGCCGTTTCTTAAGAACGTAGGATCCGATCCAAAAGGTATCTGGAGCAGATTTGTAATGTAAATTGTGAACTTCTAGTTTGAAACTCTCTAGGATACGTTAGGTAACCACCATGATAACTATGAACCAACAGTTTATTTTTTCATTTAAAAGGTTGATATGTCTGCTTGTCTTGTGGTACACAACTCTGGGCACCTCACCAGAGTGATAAAAGCACCAACAAGAAAAACAGGACAACAAATACATCAAGAAAAACCAGGCACCCTGGTCCATCATCGATACCCGTTCCTCTATGCAGTTCTGGGGAAAAGCCAGTTCTTGCTAATCCTTCGAAGCAGACCAGGCTTGAACACCAAAGTTATGAAGACTAAAACTACTTGGATGAGAGGGCCACAGTAACAAAACCTTGCAAGTTTGAATGCGCCTCCCCGTCCCTGCCTTTATCCTAAAGAGAACTAGAGAGGATCACATTTGAGGTGCTTTCTCAAATTACCATTCTGCCACAGACTCAGATTCTCTTATCTGAGTGTTGCCTTTGGTCGCACCTCTTCCTCCTGTTCCTCAAGATTATTCTCACAGCCCACTACAGCTCTTCACGGTTTTCCAGAAGGCTAGGTGAATGGGGGTCTGCTGGATCGAAGGGGAAGGGGCTCCTATGGGAAAGGCACAATGCCTAGGTCCTACTAGATGGCAACATTTAAGGGAAGGGACCTGGACTGTGCCCACTTTATCCAATCTTGTGGAATGGGCAGATACCTTCAAGGTTTTCTCCAGATTGGCAACCACCCTTTTGACCTCACCCTTACCGCATTAAATAAACCACAAAAGAAACCCAAACTTGTTGCAACAGCCAGGTGTATAAAGGTTGTGGTGTCCCCAGTATTAGTATGACAACTGCCCACTACCAATAAGGTTGGCTTCCATACATGGAATCCAGGTTGACATTCACCCCTCATCCTTTGTTTTCTGGAGCACATGTCAAGGCCACTCCTGATTTTCTGCCTCTTCAAGAATTCATTCCCCACCCCCACCCCATTTTCTTGGGAAATTGTTAAAACTGCCAAGAGTTAACATTAGCAGATTCCAGACCTCCTTTGACTGAACAGTAATATCTAGCTGAAGGAAATTACTATTTTAAAGTAGTTTGGAGGTTAATATAGAACATGTATTATGGGAAAATGTAATTATAGCACATACAATAAATGTGATTTCTTGTATTAACCAGCATCTATGTATCCAATAAGATTTAAGAGCTTGTAATAAAGACCATTATCTCTGGAAAGCACACTTACAGAGTATTACACTTCTGTAACAGGGGAAGAGCTGGAAATGAATTTTTTTATGGAAAAATTGACTTGGAAGAACCCAGAATACGGGAAAGGAGTAGGATCAACCCATGGAGTGACTCATTGCTTTTGACTTATCATGACTCAAGAGAGTAATTTACAATAACTCAGCTCTGCACAACTACAAGCAAAGGCAAACAGGCTTATTCTGCTGGTTTGGAAGCAACTTCTTTATTTTTATTTATTTATTTATTCGATTTCTATAACCGCCCATCTCAGATGAGTGACTCTTGGAGGCTTCTCAAGAAGTCTGACTCTATAATGTATTTGTGGAAAGTGATTACAGTTATATTCAGGCTAGATATTTTGGGAAATTAAAATAGCAGCCCTCCTCCAGCTGCCATGAAACAACTAATTCACCACGTTCCACAAGTAAGAGGTTGGAGCGTTGCCTTTCACAAGTGTCTATGGGCTGTTTGTGTGTGTATCTGTGTTGCAAGTCTGTTGTATGCTACAATGTTGTAATGTAGAACAGATATTGGCTTGCTCCTTTAATTGTGAAGTCTTTTCTTAGATGTATGGAATTATTCTCCTTGGGATTCCACCTCCAGGGCCTCAAGCAGTTCCTCCTCTGGGTTCCCATTCTTCTCAAGTCACTGAAGGCCTTTTTTCTACTAATTAGAGGTGTCCATGGTGTTGTTTCCTTGATTAGATAGCTGTGGTTCCACTTCATGGACATGAAGCTAAAAAGACAGAGCTTCACGCAGGAAAACCAAAAAGAATTGGAAGGAAGGTTGGATAAAGGGCATTTCTCATGGCCATTGACCATGGGGTATGTTCTTCTGAAAGAGACAGAGGATGTGAGAGATGAATACTTTGCTCAGATGGCCTGTCTTTGTGAGATTTACTCACATGTGGGCTGGGGATTATGGAATTTGGAGTCAAATTAACAGGAGAGCATGGGGTGGGGGGAGGAATTGGTTCTTTATGTCTGTCTGTAGCTCCCAACGAAGTCAGCAAACAGAACTAAGGAGGAAACTTGTAGACCAAGAGGATTTTTCCCTTGCAGACTGATTGCCTGTTTCAGTCGCAAAGCTCAAGAAACTGGCAACAGGAATTTCAAATGTGTCACATACAGTATGTGCAGTATGTGATTAGTTACATACCAAATGTTGTCCTTTCAAAATTGTATGAAACTATCTTCAACGAGTTTGGGTCCACCAGGCTGGTTTACCCCAGATGCTAAACTTTAATGTAAGGACCCACTTACCTCTCCAAGTGAACTATTTCAGAGATGCAGAACCACCACTTAAAAGGCCCCGTCCCTTAATTCCACGCGTTTCTTTCTTAGAAATCCTTTAACCCAGCATTCCACACAGTGTTCAGGATGGCTTCCAACCAAGCTGGAATCCAGAATTGTTCTAATTTGTGATGTGTTATAATAGAGCTGGAAGTAAATCAGCTTGGCAACGACAGCTTGGGGACACAGGGGAGTGGCACAGATCTTCAGTGGTACCACGCCCCAGAGTGGAAATGCCCTGCTATCCTTCTATCAAAAGGGAGAAACGCTGGATATTGTTGGGTTGGCCTAAGACATTGTTGAAGACAAAGCTCCAAGAGAAAATATATAGCATTAACTTGACTTTCCATGAGCAATGTTAACCAAGGAAGAATTTTAGATGAGGAACATCTATGGTGGAAGAACCTTGAGTGATGGATGTCTAGTGTGGAAGCATTTTCCAGGAGGAACATTAATCAGGAAAGCATTTTCAGTGAGGAACATCTACCATGAAAGAGGTTGGGTGAGAAACATTTTTCAGGAAAGCGTTTTCCATGAGGAACATTAACCAATGAAACATTCTGGGTGAATATCTATTCTAGAAAAGCTTTGGATGAAGGTCTAATTGTGGAAACACTTTCCATGAGAAATATTAACTGAGGAAGCACTTTGGGTGATGAATGTTAACTGAGGAACCATTTTTGGGGTGAGAGTATCTATCATGAAAGAACCTTGCATGAAGACTCTCTACTGGGAAAGCATTTTTCATGATGAACGTAAACAGTGGAAGCATTTCAGATGGGGAACATCTACCATGGAAGAGCTTTAGATTAAAAACATCTATTGTGGAGTGTTTTCCAGGAGAAACATTACTCAAGGGACCATTTTGGGTGAAGAACATTTACTGTGGAAGAGCTTTGAGTGAGAAAAATCTCACGATGGATTTTGGATGGAGAACATCTACCATGGAAGCATTATCCATGATGAATGTAAACAGTGGAAACACTTTCGGTGGGCAGCATCTCCCATGGAAGAGCTTTGGGTGAGGAACATCTACCATGAAGGAGTCTGCATGAAGAATATTGACCACAGGAACATTTGGGGTGGGCAGCATCTCCCATGGAAGAGCTTTGGGTGAGTTTGGGGTGGAGGACCTCTATCAAGGAAGCCTTTGGGGCAGGCATGTCTCCAAGGGCGGTCCCGATCCCGCAGCGGTTGCGCGCGAGGAAGCCCAGCGCGGCGCGTGGCCAGCAGGCAGCCCAAGGGGAGGGGCGATGACGTGTCCGCACTCCCGCCACGCCCCCTCCTGCTAGCACCGCCCCCTGCGGCCTTCCCGCGGGGGAGCCCCGCGCACGGGACGCC